ATACATAGTGTAAACAAATACCGTTTTTTCCGAGACTCGAATGTTTCAGTTAGTACCATTTTTCATGGAAGTCATGTAAATATATTCTTTTAAACGTTTTCCTTTTCCAGATTTTATTCCATCCTTAGAAGTAGCGAAAATAAGAACCTCTCTAAAAAGTATTAATAGTAAATACACAGAGGATAAATAATAGTTAACGATATAAAAATTCATTAATTTACGAGTAATACTAGGACTGATTGATAATCATAAGCCTTGTATTGAAGAAGTTAAGCAGAGATTTCCTTTTTCCGTCCTAATATTTCCTGACTATTTAAGACTGTGTACCGGAAAACTGGTGTGATTTGGTCAGTTTATGTTGAAGAGGTAGCGATCTAAAGTAAACAAGGCAAATGACTTTTGCCAAATGGACAAAATCACTAAAAGAGCAGTGATGTGATTCCGTATTTTCTTAAGATCTAGCACTCACGGATATCCATAATAACATGGTAGGAACACTAGGGAATGATGCCCTTCTACATGCTACAGTAAATGGTCGGTGGCGGAATTTAAGCGTGGCAGACAGAGCCTTGGGGATGACGCCAGTCCTGGAAGGCCTGTCAGTGTTGTAATCCCAGCCGAGTTACAGAGAGCTATATAGCCAGTAAAGTTGAGATTTTACAGGAAAGAGTACATTCCATTCTTACGGAAGGAATGAGAGAGCTCATTTGGTACAAAGAATTCTGACAGTTGGTCAGAAACACACCAGGTGGACTTTGTCGCATGCTGATCTGAACCCTGTAGAGACATATCGTGCTAAGATTCTGCAGAGGTTTGTGACTATGGATAAAACAAGGGTCCATCATTTCACCCCAGAGGTCATACACCAATGGAAGCACCCTTGTTCACCTCCGCCAAAGAAGCAAAGACTGATCCATCAGCTGTAAAGGTTATGGCCTAGGTTTTCTGGGATACTGATGGTATTCTAAACCCAATCACAGCGGAAAACTCAATAAATGTGTGGTGTTCTACCAGGAAAATGCCCATGTTAACAAGTCTGTCATTGTCATGACTACCATTAAGGATTGTTAATGACAACAAAATGACGCCATTTTGGATAGACGGCTTTAAGTTGTACTCTACCATTCTATGCTGTTATCTGGTGAGAATCGCAAACAAAACTTTTACCAAAAAATCGAAATGTATACGGAATTTATTTGATGGAAAACCACTTATTCAAACTCCGCTTCATTTCCGTCGGAACAAATAACCGACGAATTTCATTGAAGTGACTAGAATCTAAAAATATAGAAAAATGTCATATCCTGTAGATAAAGGAGATATAATGTTATATTATGTAGATAAAGGAGATATTTTATATCCTGTAGATAAAGGTGATATGTCATATCCTGTGGATAAAGGTGATATAATGTTATATTATGTAGATAAGGTGATATAATATCATATCATGTAGATAAAGGTGATATGTCATATCCTGTAGATAAAGGTGATGTAATGTTATATCATGTAGATAAGGTGATGTAATGTCATATCATGTAGATAAAGGAGATATAATGTCATATCCTGTAGATTTAGGTGATATAATGTCATATCCTGTAGATAAAGGTGATATAACGTCATATTATGTAGATAAAGGAGATATAATGTCATATCCTGTAGATAAGGCGAAGTCCTTTCCAGTAGATACGATAATACAACTTTATATTCTGTATAAAGGGTGACAAAATGTCATGTCATGTTCAAAATGAACATAAAGACTAGAGGATTTGCTGATGGTTTTACCATGGTATGTTACCTTGAGGGTGAAATATGTAATCTTGTGTCACAGGATGATGTCCGGTGGGAAGACACTCATCACATTTGTATGTGCTTGTGATTGTGTTACATGGGTGGGTGTGTTATATCGGAACTGTCACTTGGGTGGATTGTCCTTGACAAACCAGTATCACGCAGGTAGAAATTGATGACATAAGATGGAGGAACCATAAATAAGTAGGATCGAATTGAAACAAAACAAGTATTAGTTTAATATATAACTACAGTACAGCTATGTAACATCCTCAAACATCACCTAGAGAATGTAATAGTTGTTCCTAATAAATCTCCACTACATAGTTAATACAAGGTACGACTAGGAGTTAAGTGAGGATTCTCAACCGCGCCACAGGTCTATATACAATGTAATACATATATACTAATTGAAATAAGACAAGATGTTTACATGTCTACACAGTGTGTAACACGGAGACAGTATATGAAATACCAGATGTTTACATGTCTACACAGTGTGTAACACGGAGACAGTATATGAAATACCAGATGTTTACATGTCTATACAGTGTGTAACACGGAGACAGTATATAAAATACTAGATGTTTACATGTCTATACAGTGTGTAACACGCAGACAGAACATAAAATACTGGATGTTTACATGTCTACACAGTGTGTAACACGGAGACAGTATATAAAATACTAGATGTTTACATGTCTATACAGTGTGTAACACGCAGACAGAACATAAAATACTGGATGTTTACATGTCTACACAGTGTGTAACACGGAGACAGTATATAAAATACTAGATGTTTACATGTCTATACAGTGTGTAACACGCAGACAGAACATAAAATACTAGATGTTTACATGTCTACACAGTGTGTAACACGGAGACAGTATATAAAATACTAGATGTTTACATGTCTATACAGTGTGTAACACGGAGACAGTACATATAAATACTGGATGTTTACATGTCGATACAGTGTGTAACACGGAGATAGTATATAAAATACTAGATGTTTACATGTCTACACAGTGTGTAACACGGAGACAGTATATAAAATACTAGATGTTTACATGTCTATACAGTAACACGTATATACATTTTATATATTTTTCATTGTTCAGTGATCGGCAGTACTAACTTTATTGGATTTTGTTTATTACTGACTAGTCTTTATCACATGTAAATATAAGCCTGACTATCAATACAGAAAACGTCAGCAATAGGTGTATTAAATTATGTAAAGAAGTATCAAAGAAAAGTGAAAAATCATACGTAAGATGAAAATATAGCGACGGATTTTAATATAATGTATGAAATCATAATAATAAGGGTCGTACGGAGTTTAGTATCAAAAATCACATTTAGAAAAACAGGAAGCTTCGAAAAACTCTACCTTATTCAGATTTAAAAAGCCATATGCTTGCTGTGTGGTTATAAAGTGTCCCATTTTCTATCTCCATAGTTATAAAGTGTACCGTTTTCTATCCCTATAGTTATAAAGTGTATCGTTTTCTATATCTATAGTTATAAAGTGTACCGTTTTCTATCTCTATAGTTATAAAGTGTCCCATTTTCTATCTCCATAGTTATAAAGTGTACCGTTTTCTATCCCTATAGTTATAAAGTGTATCGTTTTCTATATCTATAGTTATAAAGTGTACCGTTTTCTATCTCTATAGTTATAAAGTGTCCCATTTTCTATCTCCATAGTTATAAAGTGTACCGTTTTCTATCCCTATAGTTATAAAGTGTATCGTTTTCTATATCTATAGTTATAAAGTGTCCCATTTTCTATCTCCATAGTTATAAAGTGTACCGTTTTCTATCTCCATAGTTATAAAGTGTACCGTTTTCTATCCCTATAGTTATAAAGTGTATCGTTTTCTATATCTATAGTTATAAAGTGTCCCATTTTCTATCTCCATAGTTATAAAGTGTACCGTTTTCTATCCCTATAGTTATAAAGTGTATCGTTTTCTATATCTATAGTTATAAAGTGTCCCATTTTCTATCTCCATAGTTATAAAGTGTACCGTTTTCTATCTCCATAGTTATAAAGTGTACCGTTTTCTATCCCTATAGTTATAAAGTGTATCGTTTTCTATATCTATAGTTATAAAGTGTCCCATTTTCTATCTCCATAGTTATAAAGTGTACCGTTTTCTATCTCCATAGTTATAAAGTGTACCGTTTTCTATCCCTATAGTTATAAAGTGTATCGTTTTCTATATCTATAGTTATAGTCCCATTTTTGTCTCTATAGTTATAAAGTGTACCGTTTTCTATCTCTATAGTTATAAAGTGTATCGTTTTCTATCCCTATAGTTATAAAGTGTACCGTTTTCTATCACTATAGTTATAAAGTGTACCGTTTTCTATATCTATAGTTATAAAGTGTACCGTTTTCTATCTCTATAGTTATAAAGTGTATCGTTTTCTATATCTATAGTTATAAAGTGTACCGTTTTCTATATCTATAGTTATAAAGTGTACCGTTTTCTATCTCTGTAGTTATAAAGTGTACCGTTTTCTATCTCTATAGTTATAAAGTGTACCGTTTTCTATCCCTATAGTTATAAAGTGTATCGTTTTCTATCCCTATAGTTATAAAGTGTATCTTTTCTATATCTATAGTTATAAAGTGTACCGTTTTCTATCTTTATAGTTATAAAGTGTACCGTTTTCTATCTCTACAGTTATAAAGTGTATCGTTTTCTAGCTCTATAGTTATAAAGTGTATCGTTTTCTGTCTCCTTAGTTATAAAGTGTACCGTTTTCCATATCTATAGTTATAAAGTGTACCGTTTCCTAGCTCTATAGTTATAAAGTGTATCGTTTTCTAGCTCTATAGTTATAAAGTGTATCGTTTTCTGTCTCCTTAGTTATAAAGTGTACCGTTTTCCATATCTATAGTTATAAAGTGTACCGTTTTCTAGCTCTACAGTTATAAAGTGTACCGTTTTCTATCTCTACAGTTATAAAATGTACCGTTTTCTATCTCTATAGTTATAAAGTGTACCGTTTTCTATCTCTATAGTTATAAAGTGTACCGTTTTCTTTCTTCATAGTTATAAAGTGTACCGTTTACTTCCTTTATGACTTGAAGTTGTGTCGTTTAGATTGAAGGTATCAATAGTGAATAATGCCTAAATGCTATGTTAATTGTGCACAAAAAGGAGTCATATTTGATTTCTGTCTTGAACACAAATATATTAAGGAGCTTCCGGAGGGGTGGTCGTTTTCCGTCTCTCCAAAATGAACTTGGTCTTTTCCAGAGGCGTGGCGAATGTACAGTACCTATACGGTATATCATCTATCCCGGGCGGTAGCTCAAACCGGTACATTCTAAATATCTGTAAAACAGTTCAAAATTTATTAACACAACTGAAAGATGTAGCAGTTTGTTCCATTACAATGGTCGTCCATTATATTTTATCAATTTGATATTCAATTCAATATAATATTTTATCAAATTATCGATCTGATAATATTTTATACGAAAATCGACAATCTGGCAATGGAGAGTGTTGAAAATGCATATTTCCTATTTCTTGCCATTAAATCGTAAGTCTATTTATCTGTCAAGAAATATATTCATATGCAACTTATCTTAAACTTTCAGAAATCTATTAATTCCAAATCGATTGAAATTAGGGTTTATGTTACTTTTGTCGATATATGTTTAAGTAGATTTACTCTAAGATGAACTTTCTTAAAGCCACTTCATATTTTCAATGTGAAACGCGTGGTTCCTAACATCAGCTTTTGTATGGGTACTGGGTGACCGCCTCACCGACAAACCGGGACGGTGACCACAGATGACGGAGATAATAAAGGCCAATTATAGAGTGTTATATCACAATGAAATGGTAAACCTACACATGGTAGTGAACACCTTGTCAACCGCCAACAGGTTAGAACGAATGTCCTTAATGTAAACGGACACCATCATGAACGTATCTAGCAGTATGGCTTTTTGTTTTTTGTTTTGTGGAACAGAATTTCTCGTTTGAGTTGTCATTGCCCTCATTGTAAAATGATGTTACTGCTGTTCCTGTTAGTACAGTAAGCAGGACTGCTACGTATAAATGGTCAATACATGGTCCTTGATAAAAGTTGGACCTCTGCTACATTCAAGATTGCTGACATATTGAAAATCATATCATCGCTATTTCTTCTCACTGGAAAATTGAAGAAAGGGATTGCAGGAATGATCGTCTATAGCATTTGGACCTTTACTACACTTGAGATCGCCACAATGGCTGTAATATTGTAAGCCTAATTCTCCCGAGAGAAAACTATCGAAGTAGAACATGCGATATTGAAATGTGGGTGATAAAAACGACCTGAAGTGTAATGAGGACCTGTTCTACATGATAAATTTGTTTAAGATCGAGAGACCAGATTTTTAGCTTAATCATTTTTCTGGTCAGCAATATCCCTGCATCTCCAACCTATGGAATTTACATGTCACAATGGATACGCTGTCAATGGACCTGTTCCCATTATCACAATTTTCGTCAACTGACGGACACACTTTTATTGACGACGGTTTACATCGCGGGTGTCTTCGATAAAGCAGAAAACGCTTACTCTTCTGGAACACCTGGTCTAATTATCCTTGTACTTTTTCAGGAGTCTCCGTTTCAATCTTTCTTTTGTTCATATATTGCCTTATTTTTACGGAATTTGAGTTTAAATTATGATTATGCTGGCATGTTGGTATTTTCTTAATGTTTTCTGTTAACTACTCATTTGTCTTTTATACAATCCTTACATGTTTTAATTGTCCTACTAACCCACTGGGAAAATACCGTATAAATTTTCCGAACAAACCTTAGCCATACAGATGTACATTTCCTGCTCGGCAAATCTCTGACCAATGCACTTGCGTGGTCCGAATCCGAAGGGGAGATGAGCAAACGGGTTTACGTCTGTCCTTCCGACCCCTCGAATCCAGCGCTCCGGGATGAACTGGTTCTGTTGTGGAAAATATTTCTCATCCCGACAGATGACCCCGTTACATAGGACCAACGTGGTCTGAAAAGAGACTTTAGAATTTACCATGCTATCTTAAAAAAAACTATGAAATAATATCAACCGAAACCCCTGTACATAACTATAATTAGAAAAACGAATAACTAGACAATTTTCCACATATGTCATACCTAAGTCAGCTGTTGACTGTGGTCAGCTTTTAATTTCTTTTTCTTTCTATGAAATCGCATATAATGTATATGATAACCTTAACATCTATGTGTCTTTCTGAAAAAAAACCCCACTAAATCACTAAATGGCCGCGGGACGACACAAGCTGGCAATCCTCTTTTCAGCTATAATTACGAGGTATAAAGTGATATTTATGTATGAACTTCACACTTCCGAGATAAATGTACAAAGCTAAATGTGTTGCTGTTAGGTTTAAAAAATGATTATCATAATTACTGATTTAAAGTGTTATGTGATCTGAATATGTTATCACTATTGTGAGGAAATGTATTGGCTATATTTATCAAATCGGTTTGTAAGTATGTATGGAACTGTTGTGTACTGTTAATGTTGTGTTCGTTGCCTATGACAACAAATGGGAATTCCCGCGGAAAAAATGATTCTTGCGATTGACTGCTGCTCTGATAAGGGTGTTTAAGAATGATTTATTTTATTTCCTTTCAAGAAGAAAGATTTAAAGATAAGGTATTAAAAGTAAATTTAAAGGTTGGTTGTCGACTTTTCATATGCAGTAGTGTGTAACATGGTTTACTGACATACTTAATATGGTGCCAGTTAGTGCGACAAACTTTAGACATTTAGGTCAACCTAGGTTAGTAGTAAAGACACGCCATAATGCATTATCAATAACATCACAAAGCAACATATACCACTACATTATCGTCACAGTTTGATTGAGTTTACGATGACAGAACCTTATATTGGAATTTTATTTCAGTCCATGTAAATCTTAATTAAACCAAGATTGAAATGACGGGTGTCGTCGATGAAGCATAGTGTGCTTTCCCTTCCGGAACACCTGGTCTTATTCACATGGTTTGTAGGGAGTCTTTCTACTTTTTTTCTTTTGTTCACACTTGCGTTCGTTTTATTGAAGCTCTATTAGAGTCTATTGACATTTTAGTATGTTTTCCTATAGGTTTGCTGTTTATTTATTAATATTTTATTAAAACACAAAGCCTCAATATATATCAATTGCCGTGAATACGAACTACAGCCCCTTTCACTTAACTACTTGTTTAACAATATGAGTGTGAAACCTCTCGTTGTAACCGTCGATGATATGAAAGCTGTAGATATATTTTACTAGATGTGGAGAAATCAAGTGACGTGTTCCTTTAGGTATGAGTTGAATATGTGTGCTTATTACCGCTTAATTTCTAACATGTCTTTCAAACTTTGAAGTTTCGGGTTCCATAAATTTTTTCATTACTTATCTCTGTTGATTGATGGCGGTTTAAATATATGATAATTAGCTACCGGTTTTAAGCAATGATTTAAAAGAAGTTCCTGAGGACAGGAACGATTGACCACATATCGAGTGAAAACCGACAAGTCGAAATAGCTTTATTCTATCAATAATCGAACAGACGGGGAATTTCTATAATTTCTATAATTTTAAATGTTGAAATATCTTATCGTGAGCGAAATAAAATAACTATTCACCTTTACCCTTGAGAATTATATGATACGGAAAAGTAAGAAAAGTACCTACCCCTTTAGGTACATTGTAGCCCTTCAAAACAATATCGGAATCTAGTGTCCGGGCAGTTCCGCCACAGATTGGGAAAACCAGTCTGTTGAAAAAATAATACCAAATAAGATCGTTAAGGTATGGTCTTAGACCCAGGTTCATCTACATTCAAAAGTATACAAAACATGCGTTAATGAATAACACAACTTAATAAAAATAAATATTGAATTAGATTCAGTCACACAATCAATAAAACCATAAAGTTGTTTCGTACTCCTTGGATTTGTCCGTGATGATAAGTGCCTGAATGGTCACTCTAGCCGCTAATCTGAAGAAAAAGCGTTATCGCAATTTGTTTAAAATGTAACTGTACTATCATTAATTTTCTTCTTTAAACAACATATTTTCCTTAATGTAATTTTGACTTTCTAACAATTTGTGCAAGAAGCATATGAGAAATATTAGCAATTTTACTGCAAATCCAAGTTGATACCAAAAGTACAAATAAAACAACTATAATGGTAACACCAGTTAGTGGTACAACATAAACAAATACAGTGGTAACACCCGTTAGTGGTACAACTTTAACAGATATAGTGGTAACACCCGTAAGTGGTACAACTTTAACAGATATAGTGGTAATTCCGGTTAGTGGTACAACTTTAACAAATATAACGATAATACCCGTTAGTGGTAAAACTTTAACAAATATAGTGGTTACATCCGTTAGTGGTACAACTTTAACAGATATAGTGGTAACACCCGTTAGTGGTAAAACTTTAACAGATATAGTGGTAATACCCGTTAGTGGTACAACTTTAAGAAATATCGTGGTAATTCCGGTTAGTGTTACAACAATCACAAATATAGTGATAATACCCGTTAATGGTACAACTTTAACAGATATAGTGGTAATTCCGGTTAGTGGTACAACTTTAACAGATATAGTGGTAACACCTGTTAATGGTACAATTTTAACAAATATAGTGGTAACACCCGTTAGTGGTACAACTTTAACAGATATAGTGGTAATTCCGGTTAGTGGTAAAACTTTAACAAATATAGTGGTAATTCCGGTTAGTGTTACAACAATAACAAATATAATGATAATACCCGTTAATGGTACAACTTTAACAGATATAGTGGTAATTCCGGTTAGTGGTACAACTTTAACAGATATAGTGGTAACACCTGTTAATGGTACAACTTCAACAAATATAGTGGTAACACCCGTTAGTGGTACAACTTTAACAGATATAATGGTAATACCCGTTAGTGGTACAACTTTAACAAATATAGTGGTAATTCCTGTTAGTGGTATAACTTTAACAAATATAGTGGTAATTCCTGTTTGTGGTACAACTTAAACAGCTATAGTGGTAAGTGGTAACACCCATTAGTGGTACAACTTTAACAGATATAGTGGTAATTCCGGTTAGTGGTACAACTTTAACAAATATAGTGGTAATTCCGGTTAGTGGTACAACTTTAACAGATATAGTGGTAACATCCGTTAGTGGTACAACTTTAACAGATATAGTGGTAACACCCGTTAGTGGTACAACTTTAACAGATATAGTGGTAACACCAGTTAGTGGTACAACTTTAACAGATATAGTGGTAACACCCGTTAGTGGTACAACTTTAACAGATATTTTGGTAACACCCGTTAGTGGTACAACTTAAAAAGCTAAAGTGGGAAGTGGTAACACCCGTTAGTGGTACAACTTTAACAGATATAGTGGTAATACCCGTTAGTGGTACAACTTTAACAAATATAGTGGTAATTCCGGTTAGTGGTACAACTTTAACAAATATAGTGGTAATACCCGTTAGTGATACAACTTTAACAAATATAGTGGTAACACCCGTTAGTGGTATAACTTTAACAGATATAGTGGTAACACCCGTTAGTGGTACAACTTTAACAAATATAGTGGTAACACCCGTTAGTGGTATAACTTTAACAGATATAGTGGTAATACCCGTTAGTGGTACAACTTTAACAAATATAGTGGTAATTCCTGTTAGTGGTACAACTTTAACAAATATAGTGGTAATTCCGGTTAGTGGTACAACTTTAACAAATATAGTGGTAATTCCGGTTAGTGGTACAACTTTAACAAATATAGTGGTAATACCCGTTAGTGATACAACTTTAACAGATATAGTGGTAACACCCGTTAGTGGTATAACTTTAACGGATATAGTGGTTACACCCGTTAGTGGTACAACGTTAACAAATATAGTGGTAACACCCGTTAGTGGTACAACTTTAACAGATATAGTGGTAACACCCGTTAGTGGTACAACTTTAACAGCTATAGTGGTAACATCCGTTAGTGGTACCAATAGCTACACGTAAATAAAATTAAACGTCCATCAACTGTCTCGATAGGAACTCTCGTCCTCGTAGGTTGACACTAGCAGGATTCAAGATTTTCAAAATGTACTCAAAAACCTAAGGTAATTGACCCATAGATACATGATATCACAAATAGGGAAGGAGACATTTTAACAGAGACAATGTACATTATATATAACATAATGATTAAGGAATTCTTATCGAAACAGACAACAGCCAAATAAAGATAATGTTAATGAATGTGATACGTTTAGTTGGCAATTTTTCCAGCAATCTTGTCAGAACACCGTAAACGAACGACGAAAATTAACATCATCCTATTTATTGATGTTTTGAGGTAACACAAAGAGGAGAAAGACAGCGTGGTGGACATTAACATAATAAGTACCGTAATGACTCTTTCACGCACGCCTTTAGGTATGTAAGTCTGTCGATAACCTCCATGGTCAACTGCCCATCCTCGGGTATCACATCACACAACTCCTCATACAGATTGATTTGTTTGTCTTGGTGTTTGGCAAGGAAGTAAAACAGAAAAGTCATAGCATTGGCGGTCTGTAAACATAACACAAACATAACATTGGTGGTCTGTAGACATAATAACACAAACATAACATTGGTGGTCTGTAAACATAACACAAACATAACATTGGTGGTCTGTAAACATAACACAAACATAACATTGGTGGTCTGTAAACATAACAGAAACATAATATTGGTGGTCTGTAGACATAATAACACAAACATAACATTGGTGGTCTGTAGACATAATAACACAAACATAACATTGGTGGTCTGTAAACATAACACAAACATAACATTGGTGGTCTGTAAACATAACACAAACATAACATTGGTGGTCTGTAAACATAACAGAAACATAATATTGGTGGTCTGTAGACATAATAACACAAACACAGCATTGGTGGTCTGTAAACATAACACAAACATAACATTGGTGGTCTGTAGACATAACAGAAACATAATACTGGTGGTCTGTAAACATAACACAAACATAACATTGGTGGTCTGTAAACATAACAGAAACATAACATTGGTGGTCTGTAGACATAACAGAAACATAATATTGGTGATCTGTAGACATAATAACACAAGCATAACATTGGTGGTCTGTAAACATAACAGAAACATAACATTGGTGGTCTGTAGACATAACACAAACATAATATTGGTGATCTGTAGACATAATAACACAAGCATAACATTGGTGGTCTGTAAACATAACAGAAACATAACATTGGTGGTCTGTAGACATAACACAAGCATAACATTGGTGGTCTGTAAACATAACAGAAACATAACATTGGTGGTCTGTAGACATAACAGAAACATAACATTGGTGATCTGTAGACATAACACAAACATAACATTGGTGGTCTGTAAACATAACAGAAACATAACATTGGTGGTCTGTAGACATAACACAAACATAACATTGGTGGTCTGTAGACATAATAACAGAAACATAACATTGGTGATCTGTAGACATAACACAAACATAACATTGGTGGTCTGTAGACATAACAGAAACATAACATTGGTGGTCTGTAGACATAACACAAACATAACATTGGTGGTCTGTAGACATAATAACAGAAACATAATATTGGTGATCTGTAGACATAATAACACAAACATAACATTGGTGGTCTGTAAACATAACAGAAACATAATATTGGTTATCTGTAGACATAATAACACAAACATAACATTGGTGGTCTGTAGACATAATAACAGAAACATAACATTGGTGATCTGTAGACATAACACAAACATAACATTGGTGGTCTGTAAACATAACAGAAACATAATATTGGTGATCTGTAGACATAACAGAAACATAACATTGGTGGTCTGTAAACATAACAGAAACATAATATTGGTGATTTGTAGACATAACACAAACATAACATTGGTGGTCTGTAGACATAATAACAGAAACATAACATTTTTGGTGGTCTGTAAACATAACAGAAACATAATATTGATGATCTGTAGACATAACACAAACATAACATTGGTGGTCTGTAGACATAATAACAGAAACATAACATTGGTGGTCTGTAGACATAACAGAAACATAATATTGGTGATCTGTAGACATAACACAAACATAACATTGGTGGTCTGTAGACATAACAGAAACATAATATTGGTGATCTGTAGACGTTACACAAACATAGCATTGGTGGTCTGTAGACATAACAGAAACATAATATTGGTGATTTGTAGACATAACACAAACATAACATTGGTGGTCTGTAAACATAACAGAAACATAATATTGGTGATCTGTAGACATAATAACACAAACATAATATTGGTGATCTGTAGACATAACACAAACATAACATTGGTGGTCTGTAAACATAACAGAAACATAACATTGGTGGTCTGTAGACATAACAGAAACATAATATTGGTGATCTGTAGACATAATAACACAAACATAACATTGGTGGTCTGTAAACATAACAGAAACATAATATTGGTGATCTGTAGACATAATAACACAAACATAATATTGGTGATCTGTAGACATAACACAAACATAACATTGGTGGTCTGTAAACATAACAGAAACATAATATTGGTGATCTGTAGACATAATAACACAAACATAACATTGGTGGTCTGTAGACATAATAACGCAAACATAGCATTGGTGGTCTGTAGACATAATAACACAAACATAACATTGGTGGTCTGTAAACATAACAGAAACATAACATTGGTGATCTGTAAACATAACAGAAACATAATATTGGTGGTCTGTAGACATAATAACACAAACATAACATTGGTGATCTGTAGACATAATAACACAAACATAACATTGGTGGTCTGTAGACATAACACAAACATAACATTGGTGGTCTGTAGACATAATAACACAAACATAACATTGGTGGTCTGTAGACATAACACAAACATAACATTGGTGGTCTGTAGACATAACACAAACATAACATTGGTGATCTGTAGACATAATAACACAAACATAACATTGGTGGTCTGTAGACATAATAACAGAAACATAACATTGGTGGTCTGTAAACATAACACAAACATAACATTGGTGGTCTGTAGACATAACAGAAACATAATATTGGTGATCTGTAGACATAACACAAACATAACATTGGTGGTCAAACATAACACAAACATAATATTGGTGATCTGTAGACATAATAACACAAACATAATATTGGTGATCTGTAGACATAATAACGCAAACATAGCATTGGTGGTCTGTAGACATAATAACACAAACATAACATTGGTGGTCTGTAAACATAACAGAAACATAACATTGGTGGTCAAACATAACAGAAACATAATATTGGTGATCTGTAGACATAACACAAACATAACATTGGTGGTCTGTAACATAACAGAAACATAACATTGGTGATCTGTAGACATAATAACACAAACATAACATTGGTGGTCTGTAGACATAATAACACAAACATAATATTGGTGATCTGTAGACATAACAGAAACATAACATTGGTGGTCTGTAGACATAATAACACAAACATAACATTGGTGGTCTGTAGACATAATAACACAAACATAACATTGGTGGTCTGTAGACATAATAACACAAACATAACATTGGTGGTCTGTAAACATAACAGAAACATAACATTGGTGGTCTGTAACATAACAGAAACATAACATTGGTGATCTGTAGACATAACACAAACATAACATAACATAATAACAGAAACATAATATTGGTGATCTGTAGACATAACACAAACATAACATTGGTGGTCTGTAGACATAACAGAAACATAACATTGGTGGACATAACACAAACATAACATTGGTGGTCTGTAAACATAACAGAAACATAACAGACATAGACATAACACAAACATAATATTGGTGTTCTGTAGACATAATAACACAAGCATAACATTGGTGGTCTGTAAACATAACAGAAACATAACATTGGTGGTCTGTAGACATAACACAAGCATAACATTGGTGGTCTGTAAACATAACAGAAACATAACATTGGTGGTCTGTAGACATAACAGAAACATAACATTGGTGATCTGTAGACATAACACAAATATAACATTGGTGGTCTGTAGACATAATAACAGAAACATAATATTGGTGATCTGTAGACATAACACAAACATAACATTGGTGGTCTGTAGACATAACAGAAACATAACATTGGTGGTCTGTAGACATAACACAAACATAACATTGGTGGTCTGTAGACATAATAACAGAAACATAATATTGGTGATCTGTAGACATAATAACACAAACATAACATTGGTGGTCTGTAAACATAACAGAAACATAATATTGGTTATCTGTAGACATAATAACACAAACATAACATTGGTGGTCTGTAGACATAATAACAGAAACATAACATTGGTGATCTGTAGACATAACACAAACATAACATTGGTGGTCTGTAAACATAACAGAAACATAATATTGGTGATCTGTAGACATAACAGAAACATAACATTGGTGGTCTGTAAACATAACAGAAACATAATATTGGTGATTTGTAGACATAACACAAACATAACATTGGTGGTCTGTAGACATAATAACAGAAACATAACATTGGTGGTCTGTAAACATAACAGAAACATAATATTGGTGATCTGTAGACATAACACAAACATAACATTGGTGGTCTGTAGACATAATAACAGAAACATAACATTGGTGGTCTGTAGACATAACAGAAACATAATATTGGTGATCTGTAGACATAACACAAACATAACATTGGTGGTCTGTAGACATAACAGAAACATAATATTGGTGATCTGTAGACGTTACACAAACATAGCATTGGTGGTCTGTAGACATAACAGAAACATAATATTGGTGATTTGTAGACATAACACAAACATAACATTGGTGGTCTGTAAACATAACAGAAACATAATATTGGTGATCTGTAGACATAATAACACAAACATAATATTGGTGATCTGTAGACATAACACAAACATAACATTGGTGGTCTGTAAACATAACAGAAACATAACATTGGTGGTCTGTAGACATAACAGAAACATAATATTGGTGATCTGTAGACATAATAACACAAACATAACATTGGTGGTCTGTAAACATAACAGAAACATAATATTGGTGATCTGTAGACATAATAACACAAACATAATATTGGTGATCTGTAGACATAACACAAACATAACATTGGTGGTCTGTAAACATAACAGAAACATAATATTGGTGATCTGTAGACATAATAACACAAACATAACATTGGTGGTCTGTAGACATAATAACGCAAACATAGCATTGGTGGTCTGTAGACATAATAACACAAACATAACATTGGTGGTCTGTAAACATAACAGAAACATAACATTGGTGATCTGTAAACATAACAGAAACATAATATTGGTGGTCTGTAGACATAATAACACAAACATAACATTGGTGATCTGTAGACATAATAACACAAACATAACATTGGTGGTCTGTAGACATAACACAAACATAACATTGGTGGTCTGTAGACATAATAACACAAACATAACATTGGTGGTCTGTAGACATAACAGAAACATAATATTGGTGATCTGTAGACATAGTAACACAAACATAACATTGGTGATCTGTAGACATAATAACGCAAACATAGCATTGGTGGTCTGTAGACATAATAACACAAACATAACATTGGTGGTCTGTAGACATAATAACAGAAACATAACATTGGTGGTCTGTAAACATAACACAAACATAACATTGGTGGTCTGTAGACATAACAGAAACATAATATTGGTGATCGGTAGACATAACACAAACATAACATTGGTGGTCTGTAAACATAACACAAACATAATATTGGTGATCTGTAGACATAATAACACAAACATAATATTGGTGATCTGTAGACATAATAACGCAAACATAGCATTGGTGGTCTGTAGACAATAACACAAACATAACATTGGTGATCTGTAGACATAATAACGCAAACATAACATTGGTGGTCTGTAAACATAACAGAAACATAACATTGGTGGTCTGTAGACATAACAGAAACATAATATTGGTGATCTGTAGACATAACACAAACATAACATTGGTGGTCTGTAAACATAACAGAAACATAACATTGGTGATCTGTAGACATAATAACACAAACATAACATTGGTGGTCTGTAGACATAATAACACAAACATAATATTGGTGATCTGTAGACATAACAGAAACATAACATTGGTGGTCTGTAGACATAATAACACAAACATAACATTGGTGGTCTGTAGACATAATAACACAAACATAACATTGGTGGTCTGTAGACATAATAACACAAGCATAACATTGGTGGTCTGTAAACATAACAGAAACATAACATTGGTGGTCTGTAGACATAACAGAAACATAACATTTGTGATCTGTAGACATAACACAAACATAACATTGGTGGTCTGTAGACATAATAACAGAAACATAATATTGGTGATCTGTAGACATAACACAAACATAACATTGGTGGTCTGTAGACATAACAGAAACATAACATTGGTGGTCTGTAGACATAACACAAACATAACATTGGTGGTCTGTAGACATAATAACAGAAACATAATATTGGTGATCTGTAGACATAATAACACAAACATAACATTGGTGGTCTGTAAACATAACAGAAACATAATATTGGTGATCTGTAGACATAACACAAACATAACATTGGTGGTCTGTAGACATAATAACAGAAACATAACATTGGTGGTCTGTAGACATAACAGAAACATAATATTGGTGATCTGTAGACATAACACAAACATAACATTGGTGGTCTGTAGACATAACAGAAACATAATATTGGTGATCTGTAGACGGTACACAAACATAGCATTGGTGGTCTGTAGACATAACAGAAACATAATATTGGTGATTTGTAGACATAACACAAACATAACATTGGTGGTCTGTAAACATAACAGAAACATAATATTGGTGATCTGTAGACATAATAACACAAACATAATATTGGTGATCTGTAGACATAACACAAACATAACATTGGTGGTCTGTAAACATAACAGAAACATAACATTGGTGGTCTGTAGACATAACAGAAACATAATATTGGTGATCTGTAGACATAATAACACAAACATAACATTGGTGGTCTGTAAACATAACAGAAACATAATATTGGTGATCTGTAGACATAATAACACAAACATAATATTGGTGATCTGTAGACATAACACAAACATAACATTGGTGGTCTGTAAACATAACAGAAACATAATATTGGTGATCTGTAGACATAATAACACAAACATAACATTGGTGGTCTGTAGACATAATAACGCAAACATAGCATTGGTGGTCTGTAGACATAATAACACAAACATAACATTGGTGGTCTGTAAACATAACAGAAACATAACATTGGTGATCTGTAAACATAACAGAAACATAATATTGGTGGTCTGTAGACATAATAACACAAACATAACATTGATGATCTGTAGACATAATAACACAAACATAACATTGGTGGTCTGTAGACATAACACAAACATAACATTGGTGGTCTGTAGACATAATAACACAAACATAACATTGGTGGTCTGTAGACATAACAGAAACATAATATTGGTGATCTGTAGACATAGTAACACAAACATAACATTGGTGATCTGTAGACATAATAACGCAAACATAGCATTGGTGGTCTGTAGACATAATAACACAAACATAACATTGGTGGTCTGTAGACATAATAACAGAAACATAACATTGGTGGTCTGTAAACATAACACAAACATAACATTGGTGGTCTGTAGACATAACAGAAACATAATATTGGTGATCGGTAGACATAACACAAACATAACATTGGTGGTCTGTAAACATAACACAAACATAATATTGGTGATCTGTAGACATAATAACACAAACATAATATTGGTGATCTGTAGACATAATAACGCAAACATAGCATTGGTGGTCTGTAGACAATAACACAAACATAACATTGGTGATCTGTAGACATAATAACGCAAACATAACATTGGTGGTCTGTAAACATAACAGAAACATAACATTGGTGGTCTGTAGACATAACAGAAACATAATATTGGTGATCTGTAGACATAACACAAACATAACATTGGTGGTCTGTAAACATAACAGAAACATAACATTGGTGATCTGTAGACATAATAACACAAACATAACATTGGTGGTCTGTAGACATAATAACACAAACATAATATTGGTGATCTGTAGACATAACAGAAACATAACATTGGTGGTCTGTAGACATAATAACACAAACATAACATTGGTGGTCTGTAGACATAATAACACAAACATAACATTGGTGGTCTGTAGACATAATAACACAAACATAACATTGGTGGTCTGTAAACATAACAGAAACATAACATTGGTGGTCTGTAAACATAACAGAAACATAACATTGGTGGTCTGTAGACGTAACACAAACATAACATTGGAATTTCACCTTGACCTCCCCTTTATCTTCGGTATTGGAGTGATAACGAAGTTTTAATTTTCATGTAAAGACTAATTGAAATCAGCTTTACAAAACTGTTGAGTGACTTTTTGTACAATGTGATAAAACTCTTTATATTTGATATATACTTAATCCTAGTTATCGTAAGTATCAACACATTACTTTTTCATTGAACAATATATATAATTATTTTTAAAAATCGCTATATATGTCTGGATCAAAATGTTGGGTTTTTCTGATAACATATCTTCTTATATATCAAAGTAGCATTCATAACGGATTTTTTTTCTGGGAATGACACATCAGAGCTTATTTTCTGCTAAGTGAATAATGAACACGTACGGAATCGATACCGGCGACAAACACGTCTATCAGAATCCGTTTGGTCATGTCAGGAGTCATACCGGAAGTTGATAACAGGTCAAACAGCAGGTTGTCCTCGATATCGTAGTTACAGAATTGCTGTGAGTCCTGTGCGTCACTTGAGTCCTGTGCGTCACTTGAGTCCTCTGCGTCACTTTGTGGCTCGATCACGTTCTGTGTGTCACGGCAGTGTGGAGTATTTCGTACTTTTGTCAATGCTTCATCTATATAGTTTTCGCATACACTGTAAAAAAGTATGTAAATCCTAGGAATAACTAATAATGAATAATAATAATAATGCAAACATGGTTTATAGAATGATGTTAAGTGTGATGGAATTATCAATAACCTGTAGCTAGTATTTACAAGGGTTACATTCTCTCTATCTGAGTGGCATATTGTAGCTAGTATTTACCAGGGTTACATTCTCTCTATCTGAGTGGCATATTGTAGCTAGTATTTACCAGGGTTACATTCTCTCTATCTGAGTGGCATATTTTATCTAGTATTTACCTGGGTTACATTCTCTCTATCTGAGTGGCATATTGTAGCTAGTATTTACCAGGGTTACATTCTCTCTATCTGAGTGGCATATTGTAGCTAGTATTTACCAGGGTTACATTCTCTCTATCTGAGTGGCATATTGTAGCTAGTATTTACCAGGGTTACATTCTCTCTATCTGAGTGGCATATTGTAGCTAGTATTTACCAGGGTTACATTCTCTCTATCTGAGTGGTATATTGCGGCTAGTATTTACCAGGGTTACATTCTCTCTATCTGAGTGGTATATTGCGGCTAGTATTTACCAGGGTTACATTCTCTCTATCTGAGTGGTATATTGCGGCTAGTATTTACCAGGGTTACATTCTCTCTATCTGAGTGGCATATTGTAGCTAGTATTTACCAGGGTTACATTCTCTCTGAGTGGCATATTGTAGCTAGTATTTACCAGGGTTACATTCTCTCTGAGTGGCATATTGTAGCTAGTATTTACCAGGGTTACATTCTCTCTATCTGAGTGGTATATTGTGGCTAGTATTTACCGGGGTTACATTCTCTCTATCTGAGTGGTATAATGTGGCTAGTATTTACCAGGGTTACATTCTCTCTATCTGAGTGGTATATTGTGGCTAGTATTTACCAGGGTTACATTCTCTCTATCTGAGTGGTATATTGTGGCTAGTATTTACCGGGGTTACATTCTCTCTATCTGAGTGGTATAATGTGGCTAGTATTTACCGGGGTTACATTCTCTCTATCTGAGTGGTATAATGTGGCTAGTATTTACCGGGGTTACATTCTCTCTATCTGAGTGGTATATTGTGGCTAGTATTTACCGGGGTTACATTCTCTCTATCTGAGTGGCAAGTATTTACCGGGGTTACATTCTCTCTATCTGAGTGGTATATTGTGGCTAGTATTTACCAGGGTTACATTCTCTCTATCTGAGTGGCATATTGTAGCTAGTATTTACCAGGGTTACATTCTCTCTATCTGAGTGGCATATTGTAGCTAGTATTTACCAGGGTTACATTCTCTCTATCTGAGTGGCATATTGTAGCTAGTATTTACCAGTATTTATCTGAGTGGCATATTGTAGCTAGTATTTACCAGGGTTCTCTCTATCTGAGTGGCATATTGTAGCTAGTATCTACCAGGGTTACATTCTCTCTATCTGAGTGGTATATTGTAGCTAGTATTTACCAGGGTTACATTCTCTCTATCTAAGTGGTACATTGTGGCTAGTATTTACCAGGGTTACATTCTCTCTATCTGAGTGGTATATTGTGGCTAGTATTTACCGGGGTTACATTCTCTCTATCTGAGTGGTATATTGTGACTAGTATTTACCAGGGTTACATTCTCTCTATCTGAGTGGTATATTGCGGCTAGTATTTACCAGGGTTACATTCTCTCTGAGTGGCATATTGTAGCTAGTATTTACCAGGGTTACATTCTCTCTATCTGAGTGGTATATTGCGGCTAGTATTTACCAGGGTTACATTCTCTCTGAGTGGCATATTGTAGCTAGTATTTACCAGGGTTACATTCTCTCTATCTGAGTGGTATATTGCGGCTAGTATTTACCAGGGTTACATTCTCTCTGAGTGGTATATTGTGGCTAGTATTTACCAGGGTTACATTCTCTCTATCTGAGTGGTATGTTGCGGCTAGTATTAACCAGGGTTACATTTTCTCTATCTGAGTGGTATATTGTGGCTAGTATTTACCAGGGTAACATTCTCGCTATCTGAGTGGTACATTGTGGCTAGTATTTACCAGGGTTACATTCTCTTTATCTGAGTGGCATATTGTGGCTAGTATTTACCAGGGTTATATTCTCTCTATCTGAGTGGTATATTGTAGCTAGTATTTACCAGGGTTATATTCTCTCTATCTGAGTGGTATATTGTAGCTAGTATTTACCAGGGTTACATTCTCTCTATCTGAGTGGTATATTGCGGCTAGTATTTACCAGGGTTACATTCTCTCTATCTGAGTGGTATATTGTAGCTAGTATTTACCAGGGTTACATTCTCCCTATCTGAGTGGTACATTGTGACTAGTATTTACCAGGGTTACATTCTCTCTGAGTGGTATATTGTGACTAGTATTTACCAGGGTTACATTCTCTCTATCTGAGTGGTATATTGTGGCTAGTATTTACCAGGGTTACATTCTCTCTAGCTGAGTGGTATATTGTAGCTAGTATTTACCAGGGTTACATTCTCTCTGAGTGGTATATTGTGGCTAGTATTTACCAGGGTTACATTCTCTCTGAGAGGTATATTGTGGCTAGTATTTACCAGGGTTACATTCTCTCTGAGTGGTAAATTGTGACTAGTATTTACCAGGGTTACATTCTCTCTAGCTGCGTGATATATTGTGGCTAGTATTTACCAAGGTTACATTTTCTATGAGTGGTATATCGTGGCTAGTATTTACCAGGGTTACATTCTCTCTGAGAGGTATATTGTGGCTAGTATTTACCAGGGTTACATTCTCTCTGAGTGGTAAATTGTGACTAGTATTTACCAGGGTTACATTCTCTCTAGCTGCGTGATATATTGTGGCTAGTATTTACCAAGGTTACATTCTCTCTGAGTGGTATATCGTGGCTAGTATTTACCAGGGTTACATTCTCTCTATCTGAGAGGTATGTTGTGACTAGAATTAACCAGGGTTACGTTCTCTCTATCTGAGTGGTATATTGTGACTAGTATTTACCAGGGTTACATTCTCTATGAGTGGTATATTGCGGCTAGTATTTACCCGGGTTACATTCTCTCTATCTGAGTGGTATATTGTGGCTAGTATTTACCGGGGTTACATTCTCTCTATCTGAGTGGTATATTGTGGCTAGTATTTACCAGGGTTACATTCTCTCTATCTGAGTGGTATATTGCGGCTAGTATTTATCAGGTTTACATTATCGTATAATTTTTAAAATTCCTATAACCTAAGGCTGGTCTCGATCCACGATTTCTTGGTGGTATACTTCTACATTCTATTGTCCTGTAGGTGGAATATTAATTCGACCTACTACTGTCCTGTAGGTGGAGGTACTAATTCTACCTACTACTGTCCTGTAGGTGGGGTACTAATTCTATCTTCTATTGTCCTGTAGGTGGAGTACTATTTCTACCTTCTATTGTCCTGTAGGTGGGGTACTAATTCTATCTTCTATTGTCCTGTAGGTGGAGAACTAATTCTACCTACTACTGTCCTGTAGGTTGAGTACTAATTCTACCTTCTATTGTCCTGTAGGTGGAGGTACTAATTCTACCTTTTATTGTCCTGTAGGTGGGGGTACTAATTCTACATTCTATTGTCCTGTAGGTGGGGTACTAATTCTACCTTATATTGTCCTGTAGGTGGAGGTACTAATTCTACCTTCTATTGTCCTGTAGGTGGAGTACTATTTCTACCTTCTATTGTCCTGTAGGTGGAGGTACTAATTCTACCTTCTATTGTCCTGTAGGTGGAGAACTAATTCTACCTTCTATTGTCCTGTAGGTGGAGAACTAATTCTACCTACTACTGTCCTGTAGGTTGAGTACTAATTCTACCTTCTATTGTCCTGTAGGTGGAGGTACTATTTCTACCTTTTATTGTCCTGTAGGTGGGGGTACTAATTCTACATTCTATTGTCCTGTAGGAGAACTAATTCTACCTACTACTGTCGCGTAGATGGATTATTAATTCTACCTACTACTATCCTGTAGGTGGAGTACTAATTCTACCTACTACTGTCCTGTAGATGGAGTACTAATTCTACCTTCTATTGTCCTGTAGGTGAAGTACTAATTCTACCTACTACTATCCTGTAGGTGGGTTACTAATTCTACCTAATATTGTCCTGTAGGTGGGGATACTAATTCTACCTACTACTGTCATGTAGGTGGGGTTACTAATTCTACCTACTATTGCCCTGTAGGTGGGGGTACTAATTCTACCTTCTATTGTCCTGTAGGTGGAGTACTAATTCTACCTACTACTGTCCTGTAGGTGGAGGTACTAATTCTACCTTCTATTGTCCTGTAGGTGGAGAACTAATTCTACCTACTACTATCCTGTAAGTGGGGTTACTTATTCTACCTTCTACTATCCTGTAGGTGAAGGTACTAATTCTACCTAATATTGTCCTGTAGGTGGGGAACTAATTCTACCTACTACTGTCATGTAGGTGGGGTTACTAATTCTACCTAATATTGTCCTGTAGGTGGGGGTACTAATTCTACCTTCTACTATCCTGTAGGTGAGGGTACTAATTCTACCTACTACTGTCCTGTAGGTGGAGGTACTAATTCTACCTTCTATTGTCCTGTAGGTGGAGTACTATTTCTACCTTCTATTGTCATGTAGGTGGAGGTACTAATTCTACCTTCTATTGTCCTGTAGGTGGAGAACTAATTCTACCTACTACTGTCCTGTAGGTGGAGTACTAATTCTACCTTCTATTGTCCTGTAGGTAGAGGTACTAATTCTACCTTCTATTGTCCTGTAGGTGGGGGTACTAATTCTACATTCTATTGTCCTGTAGGTGGAGAACTAATTCTACCTACTACTGTCCTGTAGGTGGAGGTACTAATTCTAACTTCTATTGTCCTGTGGGTGGAGTACTAATTCTACCTTCTATTGTCCTGTAGGTGGAGAACTAATTCTACCTACTACTGTCCTGTAGGTGGAGTACTAATTCTACCTACTACTGTCCTGTAGGTGTGGGTACTAATTCTACCTTCTATTGTCCTGTAGGTGGGGGGGCACTAATTCTACCTACTATTGTCTTGTTGGTGGGGGTACTAATTCTACCTTATATTGTCCTGTAGGTCTAACTAATTCTACTTCCTACTGAGAACGTTATTTTCTGTTGATACAATAAATACGAAATAAAACATACCGAGAGAGAAAATCTGCAGCTTGCTCAAACCTTCTGTACATTGGTGTGCGGAATACGGTGTACAGAGGAAGTCGGTACGTGGATTCCCCAAACACCTCCAGGTATGTCTTAGTATGCTTCATCAACTCTGAGGTGTTACTATCCATCGTGATACAACCAAGTCGAGTGTTAAAACACAACATCCCAACACCTGCAACATGAGGGCAATACAGTGGTGTTTCTGGGATTAGTAAGATGTGTTAATGACTTAACGTTATAAGAATATGCATAGTGCATACGAAACATGAAACACAAGTTCAGGCTACGATTTAAAGTTATTGACGCAACTAGAGAGACCCCATACAACGCCATGACCATAGCCATACTTTATGGTATTTTCGCGGAAACAAAATCACGTGACAAAACCATGTATCACCACCTAGATAAGAAATCAACCTGTGATGTCTGGACTTACACATACTAAACCTCATAGGATTCGAATCTTTTCGAGAGATTATATAACATTCCAAAGCTTATATTTACTTACATTCAGCGGTGTATTCCATCAGCTGATCAGGCAGGTTGTCTAGCACGTCTCTGTGTTGAAACTTTGCCACAAAGTCGTCAGCAATTTGGCCAATGCGGTTGGCATATTTGGTCATAGCCTTTGGTCTCATCATCGCCTTTTGTGTTGGACTTCGCAAGGCGTACCACTCTTCGCCCTTCCTTGGAGGGATAACAGACAAGAAAATCCCAACACGTCAACACAATCATAATCAATATAACTACGGCAAAGACTTACATGGAGAAAAATTACGAGGAGAATAAGACCAGGTGTTCCGGAAGAGTACACATCTTCTGCTTCATCGTCGACATCCAAGATGTAAACCTTGGTCAACCCAAGTAAGTAATGTCACGTTCTCAAATGAGAACAAGGTATACAACAATAGAATCAACAGACAAACTAACGAGCATCAAACACGTCAAGCTTCAATTCACTGTGAAATAGAATATTTCCCAATGATATTACAATGACGACCGTAAAACTTCCCCATGATTTTCCTGAACCTACTTTTTTGAAACCCTGTATGATGAGTTTGTCCGTCAGTTGATGATTTCTTGAATGGAAATCATGAAAATGGAAACAGGCCCTTAAATACCGAGCGACTGCGACAAATAAACACAATAGGTTGGGGATGCATGGTTCTTCCTGTCCAGAAATGGAAAATCCATAGAAAGGAAATTGAAATCATCACCCTTATCATAAAGTTTCGTTGTAGAAAAAGATCGAGATAAGCAGATGATGTAGAAGAATCTGTGGTGACCTTAATCTCCAGTTCTGGTGGGTATATACGATGGACGTTTTAACTAAATTTCTTGTTATTTAAAAACAAGACGTTATCAATATATCCGAACATGAAATTTTAACAACTTTTCAAGGCCCTTGTGACCTGTCTTTATAACCTCTACGATAAATTCATCCTCGTTTGAAAAACAAAACAGATTAGACAACAGAGGGTCGCAGTTAGTTCCCATACAGGTATAACAACAGCTTGTTGGAAAATCAATACCAACAAACTCAACGAAGATGTTGTCAACCAGACATTTGATCATTTTCATGATTATGTCCTCAGTATATTTCTTCTTTAGATGCATTTTTCAGGAAATACGCTTCAGTATAGTTTTTTTTCTAAAAGAAAACTCTCATAACAAACGAAGAAAGGTGTTCATTCAGTTGAGAACGGAGATATGGCGGTGTTCACAGTGGAAAAGCACGCTCTTATAGATATCTTTTTTGTAATAAAAGGGGTGTTGAAGATTGGTCAGAAGCTCTTTGGAATCCACAGATTCATGAGACTCCTGAAATACTACAAGGAGAATAAGACTATTTGTTCCGGAATGGAAACCGTCTTTTGCTTCATTGACGACATCCGCCATGGAAACCTTGGTCAATCAAAGTAAGTAGTGTAACGTTTCCAAATGAGAACAAGGTATCCTATTTAAACACGAAGAACATACAACAAAACTAACATGATCGTGCCAATACGCTTTCCAAACGTGAGTGCAGCTACATTTTTTATATTGGATAATTTGAATAATGAAGTATGTTAGAAAAGACTAGTTAAACATTATCATGTTTACGTATAATGAGTGGAACGAGGTATATTTCTACGACTGACTTACAACGTGACAAGGCCGGCTCTTGCGCCCTTCCGGCGGTCATACGTGTTTGCCATCAGACTGACTCCCCGATATGGAAGCCTGGACTCAGTCCTGAACACGGCGGCGATATCGACTGGGTCATAAACACACACTATCCAGTTGTTGCCTGCTCGGATTTTAACCAGAGGTCCGTACCGCTCACGGTAACTTTCAAACAGATCGGACAATTTCCGCACATCATAATTTGCTGCAAATAAATGATGAATAATGAATTGTTCAAACTGGTCACATAATCGGTTATTTTGGCTGTATAAAAGACACAAGCGAATAGCACAAGTTAATACAAAGACTGTACAAAAGACACGCACGTGAATAACACAATTAATACGAAGATTGTACAAATGACACACAAGTGAAAAGCACAATTTAATACGAAGTAACAAAGAATAGAGCCAAACAATGAGTTTAAGGACATCACATACAACTAAGACATCTTATAAATGGACATCTAAGACATCTTATAAACGGACATCTAAGACATCTTATAAATGGACAACTAAGACATCTTATAAACGGACAACTAAGACATCTTATAAATGGATATCTAAGACATCTTATCAATGGACATCTAAGACATCTTATAAATGGACAACTAAGACATCTTATAAACGGACAACTAAGACATCTTATAAATGGACATCTAAGACATCTTATAAACGGACATCTAAGACATCTTATAAACGGACAACTAAGACATCTTATAAATGGACAACTAAGACATCTTACAAACGGACAACTAAGACATCTTATAAACGGACAACTAAGACATCTTATCAATGGACAACTAAGACATCTTATAAACGGACAACTAAGACATCTTATAAACGGACAACTAAGACATCTTATAAATGGACATCTAAGACATCTTATAAACGGACAATTAAGACATCTTATAAACGGACAACTAAGACATCTTATAAATGGACAACTAAGACATCTTATAAACGGACAACTAAGACATCTTATAAATGGACATCTAAGACATCTTAAAAACGGACAACTAAGACATCTTATAAACGGACAACTAAGACATCTTATAAACGGACAACTAAGACATCTTATAAACGGACAACTAAGACATCTTATAAACGGACAACTAAGACATCTTATAAACGGACAACTAAGACATCTTATAAACGGACAACTAAGACATCTTATAAACGGACAACTAAGACATCTTATAAACGGACAACTAAGACATCTTATAAACGGACAACTAAGACATCTTATAAATGGACAACTAAGACATCTTATAAACGGACAACTAAGACATCTTATAAACGGACAACTAAGACATCTTATAAATGGACAACTAAGACATCTTATAAATGGACAACTAAGACATCTTATAAACGGACAACTAAGACATCTTATAAATGGACAACTAAGACATCTTATAAACGGACAACTAAGACATCTTATAAACGGACAACTAAGACATCTTATAAACGGAGAGGCTAACAAGATCTTTCACTACATGAGAACGTATACATTGAAAATTTCAGCTCGAACATGAGGCCGATGTCTGTGATGGAAGTGAATTATACTCACTGAACGGTCACAGCTCGAACATGAGGTCGATGTCTGTGATGGAAGTGAGAGGCTCACTGAAGATCTTTCAGCTCGAACATGAGGCCGATGTCTGTGATGGAAGTGAAAATTTCAGCTCGAACATGAGGCCGATGTCTGTGATGGAAGTGAATTATACTCACTGAACGGTCACAGCTCGAACATGAGGCCGATGTCTGTGATGGAAGTGAATTATACTCACTGAACGGTCTCAGCTCGAACATGAGGCCGATGTCTGTGATGGAAGTGAATTATACTCACTGAACGGTCACAGCTCGAACATGCGGCCGATGTCTGTGATGGAAGTGAATTATACTCACTGAACGGTCTCAGCTCGAACATGAGGCCGATGTCTGTGATGGAAGTGAATTATACTCACTGAACGAACGGTCTCAGCTCGAACATGAGGCCGATGTCTGTGATGGAAGTGAATTATACTCACTGAACGGTCTCAGCTCGAACATGAGGCCGATGTCTGTGATGGAAGTGAATTATACTCACTGAACGGTCTCAGCTCGAACATGAGGCCGATGTCTGTGATGGAAGTGAATTATACTCACTGAACGGTCTCAGCTCGAACATGAGGCCGATGTCTGTGATGGAAGTGAATTATAATCACTGAACGGTCTCAGCTCGAACATGAGGCCGATGTCTGTGGTGGAAGTGAATTATACTCACTGAACGGTCTCAGCTCGAACATGAGGCCGATGTCTGTGATGGAAGTGAATTATACTCACTGAACGGTCTCAGCTCGAACATGAGGCCGATGTCTGTGATGGAAGTGAATTATACTCACTGAACGGTCTCAGCTCGAACATGAGGCCGATGTCTGTGATGGAAGTGAATTATACTCACTGAACGGTCTCAGCTCGAACATGAGGTCGATGTCTGTGGTGGAAGTGAATTATACTCACTGAACGGTCTCAGCTCGAACATGAGGCCGATGTCTGTGATGGAAGTGAATTATACTCACTGAACGGTCTCAGCTCGAACATGAGGCCGATGTCTGTGATGGAAGTGAATTATACTCACTGAACGGTCTCAGCTCGAACATGAGGCCGATGTCTGTGGTGGTAGTGAATTATACTCACTGAACGGTCTCAGCTCGAACATGAGGCCGATGTCTGTGATGGAAGTGAATTATACTCACTGAACGGTCTCAGCTCGAACATGAGGTCGATGTCTGTGGTGGAAGTGAATTATACTCACTGAACGGTCTCAGCTCGAACATGAGGCCGATGTCTATGGTAGTGGTGAATTATACTCACTGAACGGTCTCAGCCCGAACATGCGGCCGATGTCTGTGATGGAAGTGAATTATACTCACTGAACGGTCTCAGCCCGAACATGCGGCCGATGTCTGTGATGGAAGTGAATTATACTCACTGAACGGTCACAGCTCGAACATGAGGTCGATGTCTGTGGTAGTAGTGAATTATAATCACTGAACGGTCTCAGCTCGAACATGTGGCCGATGTCTGTGATGGAAGTGAATTATACTCACTGAACGGTCTCAGCTCGAACATGAGGTCGATGTCTGTGGTGGAAGTGAATTATAATCACTGAACGGTCTCAGCTCGAACATGAGGCCGATGTCTGTGGTAGTAGTGAATTATAATCACTGAACGGTCTCAGCTCGAACATGAGGCCGATGTCTGTGGTAGTAGTGAATTATACTCACTGAACGGTCTCAGCTCGAACATGAGGCCGATGTCTGTGATGGAAGTGAATTATACTCACTGAACGGTCTCAGCTCGAACATGAGGCCGATGTCTGTGGTAGTAGTGAATTATACTCACTGAACTGTCCCAGCTCGTACAAAAGGCCGATGTCTGTGATGGAAGTGAATTATACTCACTGAACGGTCTCAGCTCGAACATGAGGCCGATGTCTGTGATGGAAGTGAATTATACTCACTGAACGGTCTCAGCTCGAACATGAGGCCGATGTCTGTGGTAGTAGTGAATTATACTCACTGAACTGTCCCAGCTCGAACATGAGGCCGATGTCTGTGATGGAAGTGAATTATACTCACTGAACGGTCTCAGCTCGAACATGAGGCCGATGTAAGTGGTAGTAGTGAATTATAATCACTGAACGGTCTCAGCTCGAACATGCGGCCGATGTCTGTGGTAGTAGTGAATTATACTCACTGAACTGTCCCAGCTCGTACAAAAGGCCGATGTCTGTGATGGAAGCGAATTATACTCACTGAACGGTCTCAGCTCGAAGATGAGGCCGATGTAAGTGGTAGTAGTGAATTATACTCACTGAACGGTCTCAGCTCGAACATGAGGCCGATGTCTGTGATGGAAGTGAATTATACTCACTGAACGGTCTCAGCTCGAACATGAGGCCGATGTATGGCATGGTGGAAGTGAATTATACTCACTGAACGGTCTCAGCTCGAACATGAGGCCGATGTCTGTGGTAGTAGTGAATTATACTCACTGAACGGTCCCAGCTCGTACAAAAGGCCGATGTCTGTGATGGAAGTGAATTATACTCACTGAACGGTCTCAGCTCGAACATGAGGCCGATGTCTGTGATGGAAGTGAATTATACTCACTGAACGGTCTCAGCTCGAACATGAGGCCGATGTCTGATGGAAGTGAATTATACCCACTGAACGGTCTCAGCTCGAACATGAGGCCGATGTCTGATGGAAGTGAATTATACCCACTGAACGGTCTCAGCTCGAACATGAGGTCGATGTCTGTGGTAGTAGTGAATTATACCCACGGAACGGTCTCAGCCCGAACATGCGGCCGATGTCTGTGATGGAAGTGAATTATACTCACTGAACGGTCTCAGCTCGAACATGAGGCCGATGTCTGTGGTGGAAGTGAATTATACTCACTGAACGGTCTCAGCTCGAACATGAGGCCGATGTCTGTGATGGAAGTGAATTATACTCACTGAACGGTCTCAGCTCGAACATGAGGCCGATGTCTGTGATGGAAGTGAATTATACTCACTGAACGGTCTCAGCTCGAACATGAGGCCGATGTCTGTGGTGGAAGTGAATTATACTCACTGAACGGTCTCAGCTCGAACATGCGGCCGATGTCTGTGATGGAAGTGAATTATACTCACTGAATGGTCTCAGCTCGAACATGAAGCCGATGTCTGTGGTAGTAGTGAATTATACTCACTGAACGGTCTCAGCTCGAATATGAGGCCGATGTCTGTGATAGTGGTGAATTATACCCACTGAACGGTCTCGGCTCGAACATGAGGCCGATGTCTGTGGTGGTAGTGAATTATACTCACTGAATGGTCTCAGCTCGAACATGAGGCCGATGTATGGCATGGCGGATAGTCCTGATGGGCCAGGAACAGCTGTAAATGGTTGTGGTTCAGTCCCATTCTTTATATTACAAACAGTACGTTTGCATCTCAGTGGCTTCCATACAGCCAATCTGCGAAACAGACTTAACAAAAAAAAAACAAAAAAACAGCAAAGTTGAACGTCCATAATTCACTTTTGATACAAGACGTAACGATATTATCAAATTACAATTGATTGACAGGAAAACGTTCATGGTAATACTGCAGCTAACTATCGACATATTCTAAAATATGTCATAAGCAAATCCAGTAGTTTGTCCTAAATTTGACTTTTACACTGTGAAAATGTAAATTTTCTAAGTTATGTAATGACAAGTTTTTTCTTCATTTCATATGAGATTTTTACAGAGATTGTCCTAAAATGATTTCAATATTTGCTAGATGCTCCTCGCATTGATAATAACTCGTTTCATAATATCTCAAATAAATTGACAACTTACTTAAAAATTCTCTTTGTAGCCACAAAAATTACATGATATTCACAATAACCGTTGCAGTTAAATCTATAACCTCTGCCAAGCTCATTATACGTGGTAACGGTAGCCTCAAGCGCGTGTATATTCACATGATGTTATGAATGAAGGACTACCGCGTCACGTGATCATACCACACACTGGGCTTAAATCTCGCGCGTTCACAAATACTTCCGCAAAATAACATTCGTTTGAGATAAGGTCTTAATGTCAATTTTTGTCAAAGTTTCGAGTTTTCTTTTACGGAATCTCAACAGATGATACATTGAAATTTCGTGTTCAGCAAATGATATATGAATAAATGTGAAATAGTTTTAAAATATATTTGTTTTGTTGCTATAGTAGCAGAAAGACTGACACAATCATGAAAGTATTTTTTTAGCCGTAAACTGAATGTTTTCGTCACTTTTTACCCATAAACGTTGTGACGGATAAGAATGAAAACATATTTGAACGAAGATGACTTGTAAAGATTAAATTTCTATTTTGTTTAGGATATACGGGCAATTTACTTAAGGTAAATTGTCGTTATAGCTCGATAAGCAGAAGTCAGTCCTAAAATCAATGAAAGCTGACATATGAATCAGATTAATAAATATGCTTTTAAACTGATTTAACTCCGTCTCCGTTTCCGAAGAACAGATATTATCTAAAATACAACATCAATAGAGAAAGGAAATTATAATATGATTTGGTATCTTGTGGTCCTATTAACAGCCAGGGTCATTTAAGGACGTGCCTCGTTTTGAATGTTCATACAAAACAAAATGTAAGACAGAAATTGAGAAGAGGAGATGACGAGGTATGGTTTACATGGTAGTTGACTATGTCATGGTTAGATATCTACATTGGGAAAACTTCCTCCTCATGGAGACTGCACTCATACATCTTCATGAATGTGAAAATAACACGCATTATGCTAAAGCGAACAAGGAGTAGAGGATAATGGGTACGAATCAGGAGCTAAGAATGAGATGAGGTTAAAGACATAAGCATTGTAAGAGATCGTTGGAAAGAGATAAGGAAAGGAAGTTGAAATATTGACTAGATTGAAAATAAAACTCTGAACGAATAAGAGCAAGTAAGCATAGCACTAAAAAGCGTTTTAGCACGAGAAGAAGACGCGGAAATCTATTTCCTGGCTTACTGACTTTTTTTTTGTTTTGTTTTTTTAGATATATCTATCTATAGAGAAAAAAACTGGTATAGGTGATTGAATGATAATGTGAAGAAGGCAAAGCTGACGTTTTCAGAACGAAACCATCAACAAGGCAAATATTGCGTTTCTTTCGCTAATCTGTTAGAACAGAACCATCAACAAGGCAACAGTATACAGATATCATACTAGACCACTGTATACAAGTATATAGACATGACACTGTATACCAGTATATAGACAGGACCTTTGTATACCAGTATATAGACATGATACTGTATACCAGTATATAGACATGATACTGTATACCAGTATATAGACATGATACTGTATACCAGTATATAGACATGATACTGTATACCAGTATGTAGACATGATACTGTATACTAGTATATAGACATGATACTGTATACCAGTATATAGATATGACCACTACATACCAGTATATAGATATGACCACTGTATACCAGTATATAGAAATGATACTGTATACCAGTATATAGATATGACCACTGTATACCAGTATATAGACATGATACTGTATACCAGTATATAGATATGACCACTGTATACCAGTATATAGACATGATACTGTATACCAGTATATAGACATGATACTGTATACCAGTATATAGACATGACCACAGTATACCAGTATATAGACATGACCACTGTATCCCAGTATATAGACATGATACTGTATACCAGTATATAGACATGACCACTGTATACCAGTATATAGACATGATACTGTATACCAGTATATAGACATGACCACTGTATACCAGTATATAGACATGACCACTGTATACCAGTATATAGACATGATACTGTATACCAGTATATAGACATGATACTGTATACCAGTATATAGACTATATAGACATGACCACTGTGTACCAGTATATAGACATGATACTGTATACCAGTATATAGACATGATACTGTATACCAGTATATAGACATGATACTGTATACCAGTATATAGACATGATACTGTATACCAGTATATAGACATGATACTGTATACCGTTATATAGACATGATACTGTATACCAGTATATAGACATGATACTGTATACCAGTATATAGACATGATACTGTATACCAGTATATAGACATGACCACTGTATACCAGTATATAGACATGATACTGTATACCAGTATATAGACATGATACTGTATACCAGTATATAGACATGACCACTGTATACCAGTATATAGACATGATACTGTATACCAGTATATAGACATGACCACTGTATACCAGTATATAGACATGACCACAGTATACCAGTATATAGACATGACCACTGTATACCAGTATATAGACATGATACTGTATACCAGTATATAGACATGATACTGTATATCAGTATATAGACATGATACTGTATACCAGTATATAGACATGACCACTGTATACCAGTATATAGACATGACCACTGTATACCAGTATATAGACATGACCACTGTATACCAGTATACCAGTATATAGACATGATACTGTATACCAGTATATAGACATGACCACTGTATACCAGTATATAGACATGATACTGTATACCAGTATATAGACATGACCACAGTATACCAGTATATAGACATGATACTGTATACCAGTATATAGACATGACCACTGTATACCAGTATATAGACATGACCACTGTATACCAGTATATAGACATGACCACTGTATACCAGTATATAGACATGATACTGTATACCAGTATATAGACATGATACTGTATACCAGTATATAGACATGACCACTGTATACCAGTATATAGACATAACCACTGTATACCAGTATATAGACATGATACTGTATACCAGTATATAGACATGATACTGTATACCAGTATATAGACATGATACTGTATACCAGTATATAGACATGATACTGTATACCAGTATATAGACATGATACTGTATACCAGTATATAGACATGATACTGTATACCAGTATATAGACATGATACTGTATACCAGTATATAGACATGACCACTGTATACCAGTATACAGACATGATACTGTATACTAGTATATAGACATGATACTGTATACCAGATACTGTATACCAGTATATAGACATGACCACTGTATACCAGTATATAGACATGATACTGTATACCAGTATATAGACATGACCACTCTATACCAGTATATAGACATGATACTGAACCAATTAATATCTGGTAATACTGGACCATTAGTTAGGACTTATATAACAATCTAGATATTCATACATACTAATAACTCATCTTTACGTCCCTGATGTATCACCATCATTCAGTCTGCAACTAATCCATGATAAATTTTCAGTAACACTCGCCGCCGGAAGTTGAAATGTTTTATCTGTAATAATAAAAAATTACTCTTATTCCAATGTAATTATTGGTATTTGTGATCACCAAGGCTGGAGAGAAGGATGTTAGACATCATGGCTATTGTGCTGATGTTTTTATTTTCTTCACAACTCCTGCAGAGAACGCAACGGTCACCATGAAAACCTGAATAACTAATGATAAGCGTGGTGATTTCATCTTCCCTATTGTGAATGTTCTATTTCTGTATACATTTATAAAACCGTTCTGCTTTCACAACCTATGGTAGATAATATTAAACCGTTGTTTATAGAGAGCTTTGTGAAGTTCATAATTCCAGTATGATCAAGGGAGGTCCGTATTATATCATTAATAAGCAATTTAACTGATAGAGAAAGTGAAGCACGATTAGTCAGTATTTCTCAGGAAATGGGTCGGTAGGGTTTCCTCCATTATGAAATAAACCTATTTATGATAAGTAGATAAAGATCACGTTATCTAATGCCCCCCCGTGTGTCTCTCTCTCTCTCTCTCTCTCTCTCTCTCTCTCTCTCTCTCTCTCTCTCTCTCTCTCTCTCTCTCTCTCTCTCTCTCTCTCTCTCTCTCTCTCTCTCTCTCTCTCTCTCTCTCTCTCTCTCTCTCTCTCTCTCTCTCTCTCTCTCTCTCCAATTAACTCATGGAGATCTTCCTACGAAATAAAAACGGCTAACAGAAATTAAAGCACCGCCCGGATAGTCCGATTGAAAAGCCTTTTTCGTTTTCTACTGGACTGTACTTAGCAGTGTCGGACTGGTATTATAGAATCGACGATGGCGGCACAATTGAATTTCTAAGTCGAAGCGGAAAGAGAGAAAAAACGAGAGAATGGCTCGGAAATAGCGAACTATAAAGTCTGAAAAAAGTTAAGGCAAATAAAGATGAATTGCTTTGAAATGAACTCAAGATTTCTATGCTGAAATCATTTTGTTATTCACTACATCCCTGGTGGATGAGATTTCTACCACTTTAAGAACACCTCCGTTCTGTCTCTAAAATGAACAGAGTCTACAAAATGTAAATATCAATAACAAAATGGGAATATTGACACTAAATAGTCATTTTAGAGTCAGAAAGTTCCGGACGAGGACATCTCCCTATAAAATAAAACCGCTAAATCAATCAATAATGAAATCTAACTATTGTGTTAAAATGTCATAATCACCATGTTACATTGTACATAAAACCTACAAATATAGTAATAAAACAGCTTAAAACTGGGGTGTGATCTCTGGACAAGATCATGCAAGCAACAAGGGAGGTAACTCCTCTAAATATGGTCGAATCTAATCATGAAAAAAATTTCATTTATTGTAATAAAGACTAAAAAGTATCGAACGAATCAATCGGTTGGAATCTGTAAGAGGAGATCTCCTCTAAAAGTTTTCTATGGATGTATGCACGTATGGATGACTAACGCCTCGCCAAATAAGACCCACAAAAATTGAGGAAAGATAAAAAATATATTAGTAATTACTTGCTCCTAAACGGTAACTTTGCGATGGTGTAACGACAGGTTTGTCCGTTGTCAGTATAATGTGACCGGGTAGGATGTCCTGGTAGTGTAACGACTGGTTTGTCCTTTGTCAGTGTAATGTGACCGGTTAGGATGTCCTGGTAGTATAACGACTTGTTTGTCCTTTGTCAGTATAATGTGACCAGTTGGGGTGTCCTGGTAGTGTAACGACTGGTTTGTCCGTTGTCAGTATAATGTGACAAGTTGGGGTGTCCTGGTAGTGTAACGTCAGGTTTGTCCTTTGTCAGTATAATGTGACCGGTTAGGGTGTCCTGGTAGTGTAACGACTGGTTTGTTCTTTGTCAGTATAATGTGACCAGGTAGGGTGTACTGGTAGTGTAACGACTGGTTTGTCCGTTGTCAGTATAATGTGACCAGTTAGGGTTTCCTGGTAGTGTAACGACTGGTTTGTCCGTTGTCAGTATAATGTGACCAGGTAGGGTGTCCTGGTAGTAAAACGACTGGTTTGTCCTTTGTCAGTGTAATGTGACCGGTTAGGGTGTCCTGGTAGTGAAGCGACTGGTTTGTCCATTGTCAGTATAATGTGACCGGTTGGGGTGTCCTGGTAGTGTAACGACTGGTTTGTCCGTTGTCAGTATAATGTGACAAGTTGGGGTGTCCTGGTAGTGTAACGTCAGGTTTGTCCTTTGTCAGTATAATGTGACCGGTTAGGGTGTCCTGGTAGTGTAACGACTGGTTTGTCCTTTGTCAGTATAATGTGACCAGGTAGGGTGTCCTGGTAGTGTAACGACTGGTTTGTCCTTTGGCAGTATAACATGACCGGGTAGGGTGTCCTGGTAGTGTAACGACTGATTTGTCCGTTGTCAGTATAATGTGACCAGGTAGGGTGTCCATGTAGCATAGTGACTGGTTTGTCCG